TATTTTGCTTTGTCATCCCATGCTGCCTTTTGAAATCTTCTATTCAACTATTTAGTATCTTGAATTCTTCCTTCTGCTTTGGCTTCTCTGTGCTCCAGTGCAATTTTCAGTCTCTTCTGACATCCATTTTGGTCTTCTCTTCCTCTTCTGTCTTTGCAATGGCCATTTGCACTCTTCCTAGATGATACCTTGATAACCTCCCACAGCTCATCTCATCTTCGTGCATTCGTGTTCAAGGCCTCAAACCTGTTCCTGAGATGATTCTGATATTTAGGTGGGATAGACTCAACGTCGTATTTTGGTTCCTGTGGATTTGGTAAAAGGAAAACTCATTAAGTAGGATTGACGCAGTGATGGTTAATAGCAGGTAGAAACATACAGTTGTAAAGTTAGCGCAAGACTGAACATTGTTTCATTATATTGTTGCACACAGGGACTCTGGGAGCTAGAAACCACTCAGGCCACCTAACAGCACCACCAGCCAAGTGATCTGACTCACCAACTTCACTACATCAAGTCCTCCATGACTATAGGGGTAAAAAAGGCTCCAACCATTCTGTGACCTGTCCTCTAACATCTGTAGCTTATGTCAAATGACATTCATCTTCATTATCCGCTATCCTTTTCCAGGTCACACCATGACATGAACTCAGGGGTTCAACGCTCTTTTCTGCCCTCACTGTGGTGGCTCAGTGGCAAGGAGTTGCACTGTCACCCTGAAGGCAGGTGGTTGGAATCTACCCACTGCTCCTCAGGAGGAAGATGGGCAATCTCCTCCCGTGACATTCACAGCCTCTGAAAACTCGCTGGAGGGTCAGCTCTGGGTCGGTTCCGACCCGACAGCACACACCTCCCCGAGCCTGTCGTCTAGAACTTGGATGACGGACAGCGGAGCCCTGGCCGCCAACCAGGGAAGAGGCTTCCGCGGGACTCTGCAGCCACTGCTGCGGAGCACGAGGATGGCTGCCAGAGGCTGACAAGAGGGCTGATGGACAGGAGTCTGGGGGTGCAGCTGAGGGCGGAAAGGAGGGTCCACGGGGTGGAGTGGGGGTGGTGGGGGTGGCCTCCAGGCCCAGCAGCTAATTTACAGGAAGGCCGGTTCCGAACAAGATGGCAGCGAGGCGGAGCAACAAGAGGGCAGGAGGGCCGACTGACGGCACACGTGCCGCCAACAAGAAGGGGGTGTGGGAGGGGATGGTGGCCGGGGTCGTCCCGCACCCGCCCCACCGCGTCCCCTCAGTCACGCCACCTGCACGCGCCGTCGGCCTGCAGCCACTCTGAGCCCTCCACGCTCTCCGCTGAGGGGAAACTGAGGCCACGGACCCCTGAGGACCGGCCCCAAGGGCCCTCTCGGGGGCCGGAAGCCGCTCTTCGCCGCCCCGGGTCCCCACTTCCGCTCCCGGTGGCTCCTCCTGACCACAGTGCCCCCTGAACGGGGCGCACTGCCCGTGACCCCGAGCCCGGGGCCCGCTCAAGTGCAGGACGTTGCCACACTGATGAGAACCGAAGCGGGTCACATAGACGAAGCGGGCCGAGCTCCCCGGCTGCTCTCCTCGGGCCGCCATCGGGCTGTGACGCCCTAACCCGCTCTGGCGTCCCGCCGTCGCCGCAGAGCACGACGGGAACGTGGAGTGGCGGCCACAGGACCGCAGACCGGGCTGCCCTGTGAGAGAGAGGTTGACGGTGGGGACGCCCAGCACTCTGGAGCTGTGGACTGGGGCCCCGAAGAAGGGGAATGGAGGGAACCAGAGGGAAAGGAGCAGAAGGCTGCTCCCTTGAGGAGGGTAGCAGAACACTCTGAGGGAAAGTGGAGTGAGGATTTGGGCACCAGATCCAATGAGGTGATGCTACTTCGTGTTGTTAGGTGCCATCGAGTGCAGTACGACACAAAGCGACCAGTGGACATGAACCCAGCCCTATCTATCCTGTGCCATCGTCATCATCTCTGATACACTTGACTCCATTGCTGCAGTCACTGTGTCAATCCTGTCGTGTTGAGGGTCTCCCTCTCTCTTTCACTGACCCTCCACCTTTCCAAGCATTCTGTCCTATTCCAAGGATCAGCTCCTCCTAACAACATGCTCAAAGTTTGTAAGATGAAACTTTACCATCCTTGCCTCCACAGCGCATGCCGGCTGCACCTTCTCTAGAATGTGTTTGTTCTTTTGTTAGTCCATGGCTCTACGAGGAGAAATATCCCGAACAGATCATTTGGGAAGCTGGGCTCTAAGAGGAGGAATGTGTCACCAGGATTGGAGGAAGACACATCAACAATTGCCGTATGCTGATGACACAACCCTGCTTCCTGAAACTGAGGAAGACCTGAAGCGCCTGCTGCAGAAAGTCAAGGACTACAGCCTTCAATGTGGATTGAAGGTCGATTGGCAGCATCACCATAGACGATGAAGAGATTGAGATAGCAGCTTTAGTTTGCTTGGTTCCACAAGCAACACTCTTGATACTAGCAGTCAGGAAATTAAAAGACGAATTGCATTGGGAAAGTCTGTTGTCAGAGACCTCTCCCGAGTACTGTAGAGCAACAATGTCAGTAAGGAGACTAAGGTGCACCAGGTCCAGAACGTAGTTTTTGCAATTACTTTCTATGTATCAGAAAGCTGTACAATGGTAACTGGATTAACAGAAGGAGACCGGGTGCCTTTGAGCTGTGGTGCTGGGAAGAGTATTGAATGGACTGCTAAGAAAATGAACAGGTTCATCGAGGAGATGGTGAGACCAGGCTGCTTCTTGGAGGCAAGGATTCTGAAGATTCATCTGACATATTTTGGACATGTTGCAAGGAGGGACCAGTCCTTGGAGAATGATGTCATGCTTGGGAGGGTGGAGAAGAAGACTCTTGGGGAGATGGATTGACTCAGTGACTGGGGTAATGGGGGTAGGTGTGTCAGAGACAGTAAGGTTGGCTAAGGATACAGAGCAGATTCAGAGCTGTTGTACATAGGGTTGCTATGAGTAGCTGGCAACTTGACGGCATATAACAACAATACAATTACTAGAAGCAAAGCTTCCTTTGGTTTCACACATTATTCAGTTTAAGGCACTTATCTGAATTAGAACCTTAAATAACTTTAATGTGTTTCATTCTCTTCCTCCAGAAGGTCTGTGAAAGAATTGTATGGAGTCAATGTTCTTGTCTTATTTTTAAAATGGCATTTTATTTTGTTTGAGGTGAAAATTTACATGGCAAATTAGGTTTCCTTTTAATTTTATGCAAATTTTCAATGCCATTGCTTAAAATTTTCACACTGTGCCACCATTTTCATCATTTCCATTGAACAGGTTTGAGGCCTTGAACACTAATGAGCGAAGACCAGATGAGTTGTGGGAGGATGTTAAATGTATCATCCAGGAAAGGTGCAGGCGGTCATTACAAAGACAGAAGAGGAAGAAAAGACCAAAATGGATGTCAGAAGAAACTCTGAAGATTGCACTGGAACGTAGAGAAGCCAAAGCACAAGGAA